AGAAATGTAGAGAATTTGTTAACCTACATTAATTTCACGTCCGTGAAATGCATCTGTCTTGACCGAAAATTGAAGTTTTTCAATTAAGGAAAACATCTAACTCGCATATTCAACAAACATTCCCACGAAGGACTTTAATTTTCATCAGTTCATCTTGTACTCAGTTATGAGAGAACAAAAAGAACTGCCGACCTGCAAATTACCTCTGACTTTTCCATCTGAAAGTGATATTTTTGTACATCAACAAGGTGGGTGATATTTATTTTTTAGAATATGTTTGTTTTCACCTGTGAACTTGCACATTTGCACCGCTAGCTTTCGTATAATTTTTTTCGTTTGTAATTTTAATTATGAACAAACTATTACATCGATTTATAAAATTAATGTAGGTCAAAAAATAACATATTACACTTAGCGCGCGAGATAAAACGTGAAAGCAGCCGACAGAAATGTGAAGCTGTATAATATCTCGGGGAAACCGCCCCAACCTTCATTTCTCGTGGTACCTCGAACGAGATTCTTCGAAGCTCTTTTTCTCGTTGAATCTCGCCCGGGATACCACGAGAAATTACACCAAGAAATTAACCCCAGATCCCCAATTTGCCCGTACTTTCCAACGAATTCTAAATACTTTCTAAAAACTTATCAATCTCGCCCGAAACCGCAAAAAGCCATAAACCCAATTCAAGAGGTTCTCAAAACACACGGCAATTTCTACCTAATTCGCCCGAAAGACATAAATATTTCACATAATTGTTCAAACTAAAACCCTAAACCCACAACGTCAAAGAAGAACTCCGCAGCGAAATTAAACATGACCCATGGCTATTAAGTGTAGGTTTAGTGAGATGAGATCCTAACCTTTTAGTTTCGCGGGCGAGGCGCAGGCGAAGGCGTTCAACGAGAACAATCCGCGAAGCGTTGAAAGCACGCACGATAACAGAAAAACGGGCGAAATGAATAGGAAGAAATATCCCATAAATATTAAGAGAGGAAGAAGGAAGAAGAAGTGATTTGAATAATTTCAGTAGTTCGAACGAGAAAGATCAAGAGAGGAAGAATTGGAAGTGATTTTTCAACTGTGGGCTTTGAGCAAATAGTTTTTTTCAGTGTGCCATTTATGTCAATTTCCCAAGCAACTCTCAGCGAGCCTGCTGCTCTCTTTGTGCTTGAATCAAAACTGTAGTGATTGGGCCGATATATGTATAATCTTGTAGAATCTAGCGATGAATGCCCTAATAGGCTGGCTTACTGAATTGTTCGTAATGTTGTATTATACTCTTGATATAGTGTGCATCGTGCACCATAACACCAGTTATATTGTATTGTAATCTCACTGAAATGGTGTTCTACTTCGTGCAGGTTAGACAGTAAAGAAAAACGGCAACAGGGGTGATATTTGTTTCAGAGACTGTAATCAGTGGGGAGGAAAGAGCTGCAGAAAACGTCTACATTAGAGTACTTTCGAAGTATTGTTGATGTGATAAAATTTTATGTCGTCGGGTATAGATGTCTGTTCTCCGAATTATATAATATGGGTTAGTGACTGAAATTGCTTTCTTAAACTATGGATCCATTAGAGATTTGCTGTGATTATAAATTTATGGTTTTCTTGGCTGAGTTTCTTATTAAAGTTCGTCTTACTAGCGAGCTGAATGTTTTAGATCCCCTTTACTTGCTGCTTGTTTTATAATGCCTATCAGTTTACTTGTTTCTTATACTTATTGCAACATTGCATAAAAATTGAACAGGAGAAATTGGAGCTTGCACGGAGGCAAGGTAAGATTATTAATTTATATGATTTGCGTTAATATTGTTGTAATCCAGGAGCATTAAGCTAGATCATTATCCTCAATTTCAATGCACATTCGTAATCTGGGTGAGCTGGGCATTGAACTTGTTAGGTGATGTGTGGAAAAGTTCCTTGGCTTTGAACAGTGGGGAAGCAATTGGAATATCATAGATTTTCTTCTGTTCATTTTAGATTGTGTTTTATAGTTCTGAAAAATATTTAGGTGCTTTGTATTGGCAATTGTTTATCGACATCTGCAAGAATAATTTAGGTAGTAATAACTGATAATCAATGGGTTGAAATTTAAGATGCAGAAGCTGGAACTTGGAAATGTCTGACGATGGCCTGCTTGCCTGGAGGTCATAATTTCATCATAGGCAAGGGTCGACGTTCATGGAACTGAGTCAATTCTGGATTTTTGGATCAAATTCTCGTCAGTACCTTGGTGAACCTCTACCCTATGCACGTGAGTTCTCTCTCTTGTTTTTTTGGAAGAGTATCTATTAAAGATAGTTACCTATTTATTATTGGTGAATTCTCCAAGTGTCTGTCCAATTGCTCATTCTTGCGCAAAAATCTTACTTCCAACTTCCAAAGAAACTCTCCTGAGCAATAAATGGGGGTGCCGTCATTAGCATCTCTTCTCAGGATTGTGGTCCTAATCCTCTAACACAGGAAAAAGGATTACAGTCTTATCTGTAGCTACCACATGCATTATAATAAAATTATACAACAAATATTTCCATCTCTTTCTGAGTTCAAAAATCGTTCCTCGAGGCTTGAGGTCATTCATTCAGAGTCCTGTATTCATTATGCCTCCTGAGTTTTGCTTTCCAGTATTGCATTTTGTAGTGTACCCCGTTGACTTGAGAAATTAATTTCCTAGCATTCACTGTCGTAAGTAACATTATAAGTTGGCACTGTGATGAGGATCTGGGGGCCATTACATTGATTTGAGTGATCCTGATCGTCTTATAATATTTATTCTTTTATCAACTATTGCTTAATATATTAAGGATTGTTGTTTATGGTTGTGGCTGTTGATGATAAGAAACAACGGCATTTTATTAAACCAGCGAAATATATTAAAGAGACGGGAAAGTCTCAACCCAAGGCTGGAAGTTAAAAAAAAAACCCTTCCAATTAACAAAATATTATAAATATTATAGTTTCTTTTCTTTATAAGGGTCGCTTATCTTGCACCAAGATGAAGATCCGGAAAGAAGTGGCAAGGTGACAGTGAATGAATGATCTTGCGACTCCTGGTAAGCTAATAAAGGGTGCACTGGCCACTGATATTTGGGTAATAATGGAGGTCATGGATTATGGGCCGTCTGTCTCTCAAGTGCCAACTATTCTATTATCATAATTGGGAAGCCTACAACTATCATGAGTGGCTCATTGGTTCAAAGGAGCTAGGGTTAAGTAGGAGAGAATGAGTTCAAACTCCATGATGGCCACCTACCTTAGGAATGAGTAATTCCTATATGTTTTCTGGCACCAAATGTTGTAGAGTCAGACGGTTGTCCCATGAGATTAGTTGAGGTGCGCGTGAGCTGGCCTGGACACTCACGGATATCCGAAAGGATTACTGGGGAAGCCTAGAGGTGGGGAAGCCTAGAGGTACAAAAGAAGGTGATTCCTTCTCCCCTTTCATTTTTACTCTCATCATAAATTGTCTCAATGTACTTCTCTCAAGGGCTGGCATCATGGCCTTCTTGAATATTTTAAAGTGGGAAGAAGCAATCGTACAATCATACAATCACTCATAACTATAATTTCAGTTATCACCTTCTCTTTCCCATCTCAAGATAACCTCATTGACTTAAAATAAGATTTTTTAGAATCCATCTGTGCTTCACTTCTTGCTCGGTAATTTATAGTGTGTTGCTAGAAACTCTGTGATGCATCACTTCAATCTGCAAATTTTTTGGTGGTCAAACTTTGAAGAGTAACCATGTTGGAACTTTCAGTTATTATATACTAAATTCATGGTCGTCGTACTTGCTATGACAGAGAACTATCTATTTGGGAATTCTGTTTTCATGAATAAGGATTCTCTCACTACTTCAGGTTTAAGTTATTGCTCAAACGTAATCCTTTTAGCTCGTTACCATGAAGATTTAGCTGATCCATCACAGCAGTTATCAGGATTTCCTTCTCAATGAATGCAAGCTAACACAGAAAAGAAGAAAGTGGCCTTTTTCTTACCATCTCTGGAAAGGAAAACAAAGTCTCTAAAATCAAACACACCATAGCTTATACAATAAAGGATGAGGGTTTGACCTTCTGGGCTTATTTTGCTATCTTTCAAGATTGACCATTGTCCCTAACATTGCTAACATCACTATCTTCTCCATATTCTTCATTGTTGTTTACTACATCATCACGCTCTTCATCCCCTTCATCTTCCTCTTCCACGTAGTCATTGGGTTGAACAATCTGCAATTTCAGACATCCATCCTCTCTGTGTGCTTGTAGAAATTCCTGACTGGGAATTCTTACTTCTTTCAAGACAAACCTACCATCTTGCCTATAGGAAGTGAAGCAAACCCCTGCCTTTCCGCTCTTTCCTACGAAAGATAAAGGTGGAGGGAAAGATTCTCTGCTCGTCCTTGATCTCCCACTCCCAGCTGCAAAATGCCTGAGGGAAGTACTCACTACTTTCTCCTTGATTTGCCAGGTTTCATTGATCATCTCACCTTTCAAGTCCTCGACGTTATCCGAACTTTCAGACCCAAGTCTCTCTGTGCAAAGTTGCAAACTTTCTGACTTCACCGATGAAAAGCCAATATGATTCTTGTTGCAGCTGAAATGATTATTCCCAAGAGGGAAGGAGAAGGAGAAGTTTTTTGTCTGGTGTTCCTTCTCATTCTGGTTTTTGTTTGTTGACATTTGGCTTGAATCTATGGAAGATAATGGATATCGGTCATGTGGTATGGAAAGCGAAGCAGATAAAGATGAAACCGTATTATCTTTGGAATAGAGCTCACCAAATAGCTCAGAGAATGAAGACCGCGCAGTTTGCTCAACAGGTTTAATGTTCTGGCTCCACGGTGGCATGACTGACTCAAGAAGAGTTTGCTTCTCAGGCAACGGCCTTTCAAAGATGTGCTGGAAGCTTTTGCAGGCAGCCATGGCTTGGCTCTGCAGAATTGTGATTTCTGGTTCTGAAGATAAAATCTAAGACCTAAAGGAAATGAATTCTTGCAGGTGGACTGGAGAGCGGAGATGGAAAGGATGCACGAGATTGGCAATGGGTAGAAACAATCAAGGTAAGGCTTATTAATTAGGCCAGCTGATTTTTCTTTTTTTCTTTTGGGTCTCTTGGAGTGGAATATAGACGGGTGGTTGTAAGGGCAGGCATGGATTCGGTGGTTCTGATTGTTTTGGAGACTAAAATATGGTTTCCTTTGAACATTTATATTTAGCACGCCCCTGTAGATAACATTTTCATATTGCTATTATCGTTATCCTACACATGAGGAAAATATCTAATGGAAATGATATGTACAGCCAAACCATACTTATGAAACAGCTGCCTGTGGTTGTATTTGCCAAAAACCTCTTTTTGGTTCCAGTAACCTTTAAAAATGATATTTTTAGGCCTGTATCTTCCACAAAAACATATGCTAAGTTGATCTCTCTGGTCATTTAAATTCAATTTGATTCCATATTACTATTTACTTTCCAGGATTGAAATCTCACAGTAAATCAACTCTTCTTGTAAGGTGATAGTGGTGTTTTTGTATGGTTATAGCATGTGAACAGAAAGCTTGGTGATAATGTCTCTTCCTCTGCTTCGTGTTGTATTATTTTGCCACTTGACAATGAAATAGGGAATATTCCAAACGATACTTCTCACATGAGATGGCCAGATGGATGGTTGGCTTTCAAATCTACTGCGGACGTGGACAGTTTCATTGATGCTGGCTCTAAAAGCAACACGTCATTGTGTTTCCAGAATCCAGATATTGTGGCCTCTTCCTCTGTATGTTATTTGCTTTCTGAAATCAAATCAATGCATGTAGTTTGAGGAAGGATTCAAATAAAAACATCAAATCCCCGCAGTGTTTTGTTTTATTTGCATTTTGGAATGCTTTTCCCCCTTGTAGGGTGCATATTGATCCATTTTTTTTCCTTCAAGTTCTTATTTGTTAGGTTAAATTGACATACTTTTTCACAAGACAGAAAGATTGAACTCTTTTCACGCACATGCACAACTTGTTTTCTGGATCTAAAAACTCATCTCTCTTCTACAATTTTTTTTCTTAACAATCTTTCCTGTTGATTCCAGTTGCCTACCGCTAAACTTTTGAAATTCTCCACTTCTTTAGTGGTGGTACACGGTAAGAATTTCAAGTATACTAGTTGATTAATTAATTAATTTCTTTTTTACCTAACTCAAACTCTTATATATAGTTAATCAATATAACCTTTACTCATCTTATACATGTTAGGTATTTTTATTAGGTCAACAGTTGCAAGAGTGAGGATCAAATATTCAAATCATTTGATATTTGAGATGATAATAAGTCCTTTGTCTACTAATATGTACTCAAAGTGTTCTGCAACTTCTACTATATTGTCAAAATTGGTATCCCGCAGCAGATATTTCATTTGCAACCCCTTCGTGATTCATCTTTCTTCTTTGTTTTTTCAATAAACAACCTCACGATTCATGTAAAAACATAAAATTTGCCACCTGCTTTGAGCAGATGCCTAGAATTGAAGATTTTCTTATTACATAACTGAAAAGGCAAATTCTTGTGCCGCTGTTCCTCAGAGAACAAATACATGAAACCGCACAGTAAGTGTCATATTACGTTATGCCAATGCCATCCATAGTGAAGCGCAGTTGCAAACCATCAAGTTAATGCAGCAAACAAACGTGAAAATTAGTAACCTCAAATGGGTCAGGGTCGGCATATTCAACAAACTCTTAACAGTATCTATAGTACATCATGTTTTCATTAACAAGTTACCTATTTATCGCCACGCTTCGATTCGCTCGGTCCATGAGTTTATACAACTCAGGTTGCTCAGCCGCTTCTCCACTGGCGCCAAGACTTGGAACACCGAGGAGTTCTGGTTATTTAGTTTGTTAGTTTCCTTTTTCAGTTTTGAACCATTTGATTGATCGGTCTTGTTCTTTTCAGTTTGGGGTAGAACTTCTTCTGCCTCTAAGTCATCACCTGCAACAGCTTCTTTGTCTTCGTGGGCGTTCGGTAAAGCTCCATACCCATTAGGTAACAGTTTCTTGAAACTGCTTATAGAAAAAACATCTCCAACGGATAACCGTGCACCTTCGGTACAGTCGGAATGAGCTTCTAGAACAGGTGGTTCTGCAAAAAATTCAGGCACGGCCTGATCTGCCCCCTGAGATATGGCGATAGTATCTCCAGGGCAGGACTGTGAAGGACTCTGGTGTCCACTCTCGTCAGATGGCTCAAAATGTGTAGCAGCAAAGTCGAGAATGGAGTCTTCCCTTCYTCGCAACGCCCTTATGATAAGCATCCTGAGAAAGTTCATTACTTGGACAGCATACATCAATGCAGTCAAAGGGTCAGCCATCTGCACGAAAAGTACGCCAAGGAACCATTATCAGATGGATCAAGTAACCAATAATCATCAAACCGACTCCCTCCTCCACCGTCCCCCCTTGAAAGGGAATAAACAACAGGAATTCAACAATCAGAGAAACCAAACTTATGTACTGTTGCATTATCTCGGAACTTATCACGCTATTAGCGAGGTTGGTTTTGCACATGGAAACAAAGGTTTCCAAAAAGGATTAAAGAAAATCTCACATATAGGAGGAAGAGAGAGTTAAGGTACCAAATTTTCGAGATGTGCCATGTGGACTCACAAGTTAGAAACAATATTTCTTGCCCCAGACAGTGGATTCAATCAATATAAGCTATTCTAATTTCACCTGAGTCATATTTGGTGCAAAAACCATAGCAATATTGCGAGCATTCATCTTGTTGAAATGTTCTTGCTGGACAACATCTGCCATTAGGTTGATTGCCCAATCCAGTAGAGCAGCTTCAATAGGAGGTAGATCCCTTATTAGATCAGCACATTCTTCTTCTGTCTGGCACTGCATGACCTGCTCCGATGGTAGCGAATCCAAAATCCCAGCTGGGAGTTCTCGAAACCAAGCCTGTGAATTTTAGCAAGTAAAAATTGAGCACATGGAAGTCAACATTACTTGCAAAAGAAACTAATCACATTCATAGCCAACATTAGCATCTAGCTCTTGGTTATATTTTTATTTCTTCCAACTAAACCACAAGAATCAGACATACTAGTGGAAAGAGAGCAAATAGAACCATTCCTTAGAGCACTTGAGCTAAAAAAGAATCTATAATGATGAAATTTTCTGCATCTATCATCTAAAGGTTATTCATTGGAACTCTAGATACACAGTAGTGTATAATCTATAGAAAGATCTTGTTCAAATAAGGTCGTTCTATCGTCTAAAACCACTCAATCAACTTTGGCATATAATATCCAAGAGAAGAGACGATGATTCAAGTACATATAGTATGTTCTTTTCAAGAGGCGTATGAACATTCAATTTACATTACAGAGAGTTCATTGTTTGTTAGACATGCTGTTTAAAAGGGAACGAATGCAGGCCAGCATATTTGATGGCTATAGTTCATGTTCTTTGAGACATTACATTTCCTTATTAACACGCACCAGAATAGATATAATTTTATCATTTCATAAGAATTTCTATGACTAAAACAAACTTTCACAGACCAATCAGCAGCATTAGGCAATTCACCATTCCATAGATTTATCTTTGTGGGAGACTGTTAAAATGAGATAACCTTGATAAGGCCAGCTAAACAATGTACATCGATGCCTTCCGGTACCACTCCTCGATTTAACTGATCACGTACAGACTCCTCTTGACTATTCTCTGCATTAATTCTGAAAATACCTTCAGCCTGAAGGCATGAAAGCAAGGTTCAGAAGCACGCATTAGACCGAACAAATTTACAAGCATAGGCACTGTGTAAAACTAAAAGACTGGAAACCACCTTCTGCATTATATCTGAAAATTCATCTTATCTTCACCATCATGATAAAAGACTGAAGAACTTTTTCATTTTTTTTTTCACTAGGCCTCAGTGGGATTATTCAGGCAGTATTTTGAATAGCTAATTAAAAAGGAGTTGTGGTGTGGGTAAAAGGAAAAAACAAATGTAAGTACCTGCAAGCCTCCTTGAGCATATAGACAGTGTTGCATTAGTATAAGAATTGTTGGCACACTATTCCCTCTCAAGTCATATGACAATTGCATCGATTCCGTCGAAACTCCAAAAACAGTTGTACTACAAAATTATTCCAAATGAAGTAACTATAGACATCAATTGTTAAGGCAGAAGAACAGCACCAAAAATGCATGGGACCATGGAATTACTGGAGATGTGATGCAGAGGACCAAAATGAAAGGGGCCGCACGTATGATGTGAGTTTGTAGGATAAATTTCATTGGGAAGTAAAATCGTATGTTTCCCTTTCCTTTCCATTTTGGGTAGAAAGCGAAGCAACGGGACTCCTCAATTCTTCTTTCTTTTTACAAAAAACATGAACTAAGGATTTATTCAGGAGAAACTTCACAAGTTTCCATTTTGATTTCCATAATGCTTCAACTCCAGGAACAGAAACATTACTCAACAAATCCTCAATCTCAAAGGAAAAAAAGAAAGAAGAACAAAGGTATCAGTTATTCACAACAAATCCAAACATAGCTATATGGATAGATAGACAGATGGCAACCAGAGTTTTGGAGGGTTGAACCTCATCCAACTAGAACCAATTTCCAAACATCAGAATTGCAAAAGATAAGTCATAAGAGTATAGCAAGACCAAGAGGATTAAACAAAATCAATTAGCAACTCAACTTCAAGAACCACACAAAGGCAATAAAAGACCATAAAGAAAGAATGACAAATCCTAAGAATTGAAATTATGGCCAGAATTCATAAGCAATCCAAAAATGTACCTGGCGCTGGGAGCCCTGCGAGGCACTTCTGGTTCGAACTCAACAGGCAGACCCAAGAATCCATTAAACCTGTCAAAAGTTACATGCGTGACATGACGCACATCAGTGGGCCAACTGATCTCCATTGCACAGAGCTCCCTTCTATCACTCTTGCAAGCAATTAAAGATTTCCTAAAAAGGGTTACAATCAAAGCCAACAATGAGAGCTGATCTCTTCTTTGCTTAAACCCGTCCTTCCCCACCTCCTCCCCTTCACAGTCTACCACAGTAACATCCCCATCGCCATCCACAGAAGCAGAGGAAGAAGACGAAGTGGGTGTTTGGGAATGCATGTTAATAATGGGGAGAGATCCATCATTGGGAGAGGTAGCGCACGTTACAGCAGGAGTTGCAGAAGAAGAAGGAGGAGGAGGAGGAGAAGAAGAAGATACCCTTCTACGAGAAGAAGCAAAATGGGCAGAAGAATGGAGAACAACCTCAGTCATGGCTGGCAATGGGAAGGCGGAAAAAAAAAGGGGGGCCTCTCTTTTTTGTTCTCTTTTCTTGGGAACACAAAAGAAAACCCCCAAAAACGTCTTTCATAAAACAGAAACGAACGAAAGATTAGGCCTAAGAGAGAAAACGCTGACAGGGAAGAAGGAATTTGGGTTGGAGAAGAGTTGGATTGAAGGAATAAGACGTGAGAATCATTTAACAGAATCCCTTTCCTCTCTCCCTTCTCTCTTTTATAATGCTGATCTTTTTTATTGGGGAAGAAGAAACAAGAAAGCAAATCCCGATTGAGAAATGTGGGTGGGGGAATTTGCAGATGGAGAAGAAGAGTGGAGAAATTCAAGGCAAAGACTCAAGAAACCAAGAGAGTAATTATTACTAATTTTAATTTTGGCAGCTTCAACCAGACGCCTCCCTTTTTTCCTCCTCCTTTTCGCTTTCATTAATGGTGGGTTTTACAACTTTAGGCTTTTGCTTCTTTGGCTCCTCTCCGTTTCCAGTTTCCATTCCCCCAACAAGAAGAGAACAGACGCGCTTCAATTCCCTAATCTCCTCTCTTAAATCTTAAGCCTCATTACTGATAAAAATAGAAACTTGCCAACGCTTGAACAGAAGGAACAGTTCCCATTTCATACAGTTTCTTTTCCTCTTTTCTATGTCCTCTCTTGAGAAGTTCTGGATGAAGTATTGCGTTGCGGTATCATGTTCTTAAGAAAAAAACAGACTTTTTATTTAATTGAAAATGTAAGTTAGATTTAAAGAAATTAATGCATCATTATTCATCGGCACCAAATATTAAATGGGTCAACCAAATCTCCTGTTTTCGAACTGTCGTTTATATGAAAAGCAAGATCGATAAATAATTCATCTCAGATTTTGTTGCAATCTGACTGAATAATGTAACCTAACTTTGTGAAATAATGTCAGAAATATCCAATGATCATACAGATAAAAGGTAAATTATGTAGGAAATAAAACTAAAACATTATGTAAGTGAAGTACTCCCAAATTGAATGTAATGTACTCTCTAGATTTCAAAAAATTGAAAATTCTCTAATTATGGGATAATTTCATACATGCATGTTAAATGTGAGGTTGTTAAATTACATTGACATTTGATAGTGACCATTAATTAATTAAAGACAGAAAGAATGATGTGATGTATTTTACGGTATGGGCTTATTTTATTTTGTTAAACTATAATTTCCTTTTTTAGAGGAATGTTAAATTATAAATTTGATGGGTATGATTTAAGTTTTTTTTTTCCTTTCTCTCTTTTCAATTTGGTTGGGTACTCACCCCAAAACAATTAATTTTCTCCTATTTTTTCACCTATCAAATATATATATTTTTTAATTATCGGAATTCTATTGTCTTTTGGAATCTGGAGTATGTGCATTGTCTCCCTACCCATGCACAAAAAATCACCATACGACTTGAGTCAAATATTGAAAGTCATTCTTTGAGGCCTTCAGTCACCCAAACTATCTATTGGAGACACTTCAATAGAATAGCAATAATGATAGTCGGTGAATTTTGAACCAATCATAAATAACCTGATAGATATTAAAATGAACACTCTTTGATTTTTGTTTTTTGTTTTTCGGGAGAATAATTGAAATCCAAAGTTGATTATAAATTGCATTGCTTTCCACGTGCCTTTTGCCACTCCACTGCTACCTTTACCTGAAGTAACGCACTTAATTACTCATACTATATTAATATTATGATTACTATAACATTTTCTTTTCGCTTTTCACTTTTTTTTTATAAGATTCCATGCAACCATATCTACAATAAATCACTTTAGATTAAATTCAACATTAATTAATCTGAAGTAAAAAGCTACACTAATCATTATCCACACATTTCTCATTGATTTTTCCACATCAACATGGATAGGATAATAGCAGCTATCTCTCTCTTCTCATTTCTGAGTAGGTTAAGTCACAAATTTAATCTCGGAATTTTGTCTAGTAAATTGAATTTTAAAAAGTGCATAACAGATTTTTGAACTTTTGATTTATGTCCAATAAGTTTATAAACTTTAAAAATATCCAATATGTCCCGAACTTTTAATTTTATATTTAATACTTATTGATCTATTATATGTTTTTAAGTTCATGAACATATTACTTGTAAAACTGAAAGTTTAGAGTCCTAACACAAAATTAATTGAAAATTTTAAAATGTCAAAAAGGTTTGAAACTTATTAGATTGAAATTTTGAACTTACTAAATAACCTATGAGATGCAAAATTGAAAATTCAAAGGACTGTTATACGCTTTTTAAAGTCAGTGACTAAATTGTAATTGAACATAGATATCCACTCATTTTATAAATTAGTTAGGTATGTACATATATCTTGAAAGTTACACTTATGTAATTAAAAGTAACTAAGTTAGTCTTTATTTACTATAATTTTTCTATTAAAGGTCAAGCCAGTTCGGACTCGGAAATGGGCTCTTAAACCCAGGCCCATATTTAACCAATAACCATGGCTATTTCCTGGCACCACGTATTAAACTTAAGAGAATTTACTGTAGGTATCCTATTTGTCACCCGATATTGAAAAATGGCAAAAACATCTTTGATGATAAAAAAAATGTCCATTTATATTCTTCTAACTGTTCCTATATTTTATCTCTGCTTGATATTTTTTTCCTAACCACTATTATTATAAATTTAAATATATATGAAGATAAAATTCACCAATTATAAGGAGATATCACATCGAAGGGAGAAGAGAGAATCTATCAGAGTTCGAGTTGACAGGAGAGGAGCGTGCTAGTTACTGAGGGTCAAAATATTACGAAACTATTTAAAACTAATTTTCAAACTTCAAAGATTAAAAGTGTAACTTTTTCAAACCTTTAGACACTTCATTTGAGAAGAAAATGTCTATTTAATTTTATGTGGTGGTACAATTAAAACATTGTGAGTTTAATCTCGCGGTTCGCGTATGGTTGTACTTAAAAAAAAGTCAGACAAGACAAATTCCCAACTAACCAAATGATTAATCATAATATATATATGTTTAGCATTAGACTACTTATCTTGGATTAATAAATACTGCAAAGATGAAAATAAAACAATAAAAGAGTGTACTAATTACTACAAGATTGTTATACTGAAATTGGATAATATAAAATATGTGTAACTAAATTATTTATCTTATAAGGGAAGCAAACAATCAAATAGAAAGACATATATAATTGCATACTTGTTCATTTCATAATCATATGATCAAATCAAGTAAGAAAGAGCTCAAGTTGGGAAGTATTTTCCTGATCCAGTACATCAAGGAACACGGGATCAACGGTGAGATGGCTGTCCACGTGGACCTTGAACTTGTGACTCCACCACAGCACTTTTGCGATTCCCCCAATGTCCACGCTCGCGTCCAGAACCATCTCCCGT